GGTTGAGGATATTGTTGAGTTTGCCGCATTCAGCCTGAGAGAAGAAAAGACCAGCTTTGCGCCGGCATGCCAGTGAGCGCGGGAGCTTTTTGGAAGGAGAAGGCGAAGCAATGTTTACGTTATGGGCTTATGCGGACGCTAGGAAACGTCCGCCTGATTTATCGAGTCGGAGTCGGCTGTTCTGTCAGCCACATATTTACAATATCTTATATAACTTTGTTTCACCCTGCTTTTTGTGGAGCTTATCGTTCATCGATGAATCCACATTTCGCTCTTATTTCTTTCAGTCATCTTTCCGCTCCTAAAGTTCAGCGCCTTGACGGCGCTGAACTCAGGGCTTTGTCGTCTCTTCTTCAGTGTTTGTCTAAATGTTTGGGCTGTTTTTTCATCCAAGCATGAGCCACCAACTAGGCCAACTTTCGCTTCTAGTGCGGAGTATACAGTTATGGTGGACATCCATTTCAAGGTATTTATGTTTTTCGAAAAGAATGTCTCTTTGTGCAGTGTCACGTGCCCCGCTGAACAAGGAGGAGGAGGAGGAGGAGGAGGAGGAAGGGAAGAAATGAAAGGCAGGGAGGTCAACCAGACGCACGTCCGGTTTGCTACCCTGCACTGGGGGGAAGGGGTGAGGAGATTAAAGGAGAAGAGAGAGAGAAGTGAAGGGCAACGTGTGTGTAGAAGTGACCTTGTCCATTGCACGCTTATAAGCAGTCGCGTAGTCCGGTCGTCTTTAGAAAACTTAGCAATGCCCGCGTCGCTTTGCTGGCCAGCGACGCGTAGAGCCATGAGCCAAGTATCTTCTCTTCGGAAAAAGGTCTACTGTCTATTGTCTCTAACGTTTCGCGTAGAAAGTTGCGTTCGCTCGCAAAACGTTCACATGAACACAGTAGATGTTCTATTGTCTCGTCAGTGTCGCACGATTCACATCGGGAGCTATCCGCCATTCCTATGCGAAAAGAGTACGCCTTTGTAAAAGCTACTCCTAACCACAGGCGGCACAGTAAAGTTGCATCCTGGCGGGAGAGGTCCGATAGAACTTTAAGCTTTCTCGATGGGTCCAATTTGTGTAGGCGGCGGTTCCTGACACTGGGGTCACTCAGCCAAGTTTCCGACATGGTGTTAGCGAACGAGTGAAGGCCCCTTGCAGCGTCGGTTCTCGACAATGGAATTGGGGTTGTCTGGGCGTCCGCGTGGGCGGATCGGGCAGCATTATCAGCAAGTTCATTACCGACAATACCACAATGTCCCGGTAACCACTGGAACACCAAGTCATGTCCTTTTGATAAAACTTCGTGAATCACTTCTCTTATTTCATTCACTAGTTGTTGATGCTCCCTCTGTCGTAAAGCTGATTGCAAGCTCTGAAGGGATGCCTTGGAGTCGCAGAACACAGCCCATTTTTGAGGTCGGGCTTCCGCGATATAAAGTATAGCAGCACGTAAGGCGGCAAGCTCCGCTGCTGTGGATGTTGTCCTATGCGACAGTTTGAGCTTTATAGTGACCTGGTACGCCGGGATGACAACAGCACCTGTGGAGCTGTCAGCCGAGACCGATCCATCGGTGTAAATGTGGGTCCTCTGGCCGTATTTTTTGTTGAGTAGCGACAATGTCACCTGTCGTAGGACCACTGTTGAATGATGGCTCTTGTTCGTTATTCCCGGAATAGTGAGGCACACCTGTGGTTGTTGTAGGCACCACGGGGGTGACGCTGGTCTTGTTGCTGGAGTGAAGCCAAAAGGAAGGCATTCTCTATGTGCAGAAATAATCTTTGAAAACATCGCGTGTGGTCTTTGAAGTGGCAACACTGCAACATGGTGACCAGGAACTCGGCAGAGGTGTCTTATGTGGGCTCTCAAATTGTCAGTGGTGATGTATGTTCGAATTGGATGCTCTCTTGCGATCATAACTGCCGCTGAACAAATCGAGTAGTCCGAGTAGTGCTATGATTGCGAGACAGAAGGAGCCAGTGCTCGAAGTGTGCAATTAATCGGCAAGCAGCGCTCTCTCTTTTTAGAAGAGTCGCAAACGTATACAATGTCACAGCTGATGTACTCTCATGTTGTTTTGTCTATGAGAAAGACAGGGCTTACATGAAATAAAAATAACAACAAAGAGTTCGCAAGATGCAGGGTCGAAGGAAGCTTCCATTTTCATTGCAAGCTGCACCGGCTGTAGGCTCTACTTGCACCCTGGATGAGATGTCTTAACGATCATATAGGAGCCCACATCGTTTCTGCGTCACAGCAATATTAGGGCAATCTCTCCTAAAGCGACAGTTACGACTGATTGGAGCTCCAGGGGTTTTTCTAAGTAAACCCGCGTAAATACGTGTTTACAGTTTAGTTTCCTGTTTTTGAATGCTTCTTTGTTTGAGGCATTCTGAAAACCAAAAGTTGCTTATCACTGTAGGTGCTTGCAATAAAAACAAGACTATCTCTCATCGCATCTGTGGACAACAGATGTACGAAGTTAGATGACGAAAAAGAAAGAGAAACGTACCTCTATTTTTCTTCCGTTCCCGTTCACTTGCTCATTCTTCACTCTTGTTTTAGACGACCGCAGCTAAGTAGCTGTTCTGAAGATCGCGGTGTAAACGTAAGTAGTGTCATAAAGTTGATTTTGTTGCGGCAAGTATTCATTCAGACATAGCAATATCTCTTTTCAAACGTTTTATAATATGTGATTTTCTTTTCTCTTTGGTGGAAATCACTGATTATGGTACCCTTACTGTTTCTTCTCAAGCGAAGGTCATAAGTTCTCATAACGATATGACTGCGCTAAACCTCAAAAGCCAAATAAGTTAGGAAAAATATATTTGTTTTATTAACGGGAAGCAGGTAACTATGGTTCGTGATTCCGAGCTTTCCTGTATACACTAATCACATGGGACATTATTAAACAACATCGTTCCGTTCTACGCGCTCTACTTTTTTATGCACGATAGAGAAGAATAGTGACCATGTAATTAGAAGCCTATAGGCCTTCTTTAGGAAGCAAGGAACTCCTTTCAGAGAAGAACAATACCTACGTGACGAGACAACAATAACTTGGCGTATAAGGTTACGCTAATGGACAAGTATCGATTTACACTGCGTGTGCGCCATCACATGAAAAGCCAGCATAAAAGGACTATTCGGCACACAGAATATCGTAGGAACAACTTTGATCGCAAAAAGAAAAGAAAGAACACACAGGACGCATTGAGTCAGATTTTATGAAACGAGTTTATTTACCGGTTTATAGAACTACATGTTTCTTTATTTTACAGGGGTGGGCTTAATTACAGTGGTAAAACGCGGAAGTACGTTTTGATTAGTGTTGCTTACCGTGGGGCATTTTTTTCTTGCCTTTTAGTGGAGGCGTGGTAGCAGATAAGCCACCTGATGTTCGCGAATGAGCACTCGTTTGACTAGACGAAGGCTAGAACGAGGAGAAAACAGAACTGTATAAGGGACTAGCTGTTGACGACAGGTAAAACGTGCTGAACACGATATATATTCACGCGTTAAGTTTGATACCAACGTTACCGCTGAGAACGAACGATGGTTTTGACTGTATTCGCGTGAATGCAACAACGGTATAACAAAACAAGAATATGTGCGTGTTGCTTATTTACATACTCAACGAGGCGATCCACCGGTAGCTTCTTCAGTGTGATTTAAAGAAGAAGTACAACAATGCCTCAGAAACAAATTCCTCAGTTACTTGTAATCTTTTTTCTGCGTTGACCATCATGACGTTACAATTCGCTTAACCATATGCTATACTTCGGTGTTATGATCCCCTACTCCAATGGCCAGTGTAATTTAATATCAAAGAACGCGCCTTGCCATGCGCCCAGCTCGACATCGCGAAACAAAATGCAACAGTGATGAAATCAATGCCGCAAGCCAGCGTGTATGCTCTCGTGATGGCCGGAACATTTTCTTCCCTTGTTCACAAGCACAGAAAAGGCATATTTTCGGAGGTTACACCTTTTATGATGAACGCAATAAAGAAAATAATATGAACATAACAGTCTTTCAATAAAGCGACTAGAGCGTCTCATTTGACTACACCAAGAAGTGGGAGTGTTATTCCCAATTTATGCTAATGAGTGAGCGTGTATCAGTGGTAAGCTTACAATATTGGGATGGGGCAGTATTTATTGAAAAAACACAAAAAGATGAGTGGCAAAATCCAACTCTGTGATGTCCTAAAACAAGTACGGCGGTCAATAATGTTTATCTGTGCGCTTGTCGAGGAGAAAACGGAAAGGAGGGAGCGATGTGTGCCCGATTTGCTACCATGCTATGGGCATTGAGTAATTCATCCAGTTGATGACGTAAAACATTCCTCACAGTTTGTTCAGACGTCATAGGAATATAGGCTGGCTACGTTTGTGCGGTTACGTAAAGAAACAAAAAAGAAATTGTGGCATTACTATGTTTAAATGGCAAAAGAAAAAAAAAGGAAACGTTAAGAAGCTTGCTGGTGGCGTCAATATGCTTTAAAAAAACAATTGTCCCCTGTATCCAAGCAGCACCCGCAACTACAGCATGACTGTGAAAGTCATGGTGCTGTATCGAATATTTATTTTTGACTAGACGCCTCGTACGCCCTTCATTATGTGGGCCATAAATGCATGGTTTAAATTACCCGTGAAGTCTTAGCGGGACGGCTCAGTGCTCTCCCATAGTTGAGTTCGAAGTACTCGAAATCATTAAATATTTTTTTCTAAACACAATTTTTATTGACAAAGGCAGCACCTCATTATGCAGTCTCATTTACCACTCGCCCCACCGCGGTGATCTAGTGGCTAAAATACTCGGTATCTGACCCGCAGGTTGCGGGATTGAATCCCGGCTGCGGCGGCTGCATTCTCGATGGAGGCGAAAATGCCGTGGGCCCATGTGCTCAGATTCGGCTACACGTTAAAGAACCCTTGGTGGTCGAAATTTCCGGAGCCCTCCACTACGGCGTCTCTCATAATCATATGGTGGTTTTTGGCCGTAAAACCTCACGTATCAATGAAATCTCATTTCCCACTCAGCCTATTGCATTCGTCACAGTTAAGACTGTTCTTACGGCATTCACCTGCGTGAACTTTTTCGGCGATATATATATATATAAAAGTACCTGTCGCCAAAAGTGAGCAAACACGCATCACCGAACCAAATGTTTTTGAGAAGAATGACTTTTGTCAAAAAGTTACGGCGTTGGCATCCATCGTCAACCATCTTTCGGGGAAAAAATATAATTCCTAAAATAAAGAATACCCGTCACCTTCCTCAGAAAAAATGAGATTATTTTTTCCCACAAGCGTAACAGAAATGGCTCAGTACTGCGCCCATTGTTGGTAAAGTGCATGTGTCATTTTTTATAGTGCTGGCAGAGTCCAGTAATCTTTCACATGTGCGAAGAACGCAAACGGCTTCAACAGCGAAAGTTTGTCTTTTTTCTTTCAATGCGAAAAAAAAGCCTACAAACAAATACGTGATGATATTGATTAGAGATTGATGTTCGTACAAAGGCTTCGACATCTATTAGAACCAAAGCTGTAGTCTGCCTTTTTTTCTGAATTTCATGTTTTAGCCTTTTCTGGACCTTTGAACCGAATAAGCTATAAGGAACGCACGTATACACATATGAGTAAGTGCACAAATGCATTACTGCAAAATACACCAACACGCAATTTCATGTTTCAGTTGCTTCAGTTCCTACATCATCTTGCTTGCTTAAGGGGGCGACTTTACACTCTACAACAAATTGACTGTTTTAAGCCATAGCGCGGATGATTGCGTACCAAAACGGCGTTAGCAAATTTGCACACTGAACTACTGTTTCAACGGCGCTTGTTTAGCGCGTGAAAGAACACAGTGCTGCACCTACTGCTTGTTTGATCGCAACACTGCTAACCGGAGATTCTGATTCTGCTGGAGTAATGTCATAAAGTGACAATTGCACACGTCATACTTTCTTCCCAGAATTATCGCCTAATCATATGTACTCGCGCGCACAAATGCAACGCGTGATGTGGCGGGGGGTGCTAGTGTCCGAGATGGCTGCGCAAACGCGAGATATTTTTACGAAACATGCTCACGAAATCAATGAAGAAAAGGGTATTGTGTGTCCTGCAATGCGCATACCTCCTCGTCCTGCTTATGGATCAGCTGCTGCTTCTCGTCGAAGCGGCAATATTACCTTACTGCGCGAACTCGCACGACATTACTCGCCTTTAGTATAACATGCTTCCTCATGCCCCAACGCTGCCGTGCCTCTTTATTCGTTTTTTTTTGTTTTTTGGGTTTAAAGGGAAGGTTTTTAAGCCCGCTGCCCACAGTCGCCGCCGTCGTCGTCGAAGCTCCCCGCTGCATTACCGCTTGCCCCATTTCTCACCTGAACCCCTCTCCTTCCTTCTTTTACTATGCCCTCTCCCCTCATACCAGCGAACGTGCGAAACCATCGCTTCGCCCTGTTGCCTTCAAACGCGGGGCATTTTCGGGGTTCCACTCAGTGGTAGATCTGCTTCCTGGGCTGGCTCGCCCTGCGCTGCGCGCGCCGCACGCTCACTTGCTCAGTCGTTCCCGCCACCGAGCGTTACAGACGCTCTCCCTACCCGCTCCCCAACCTATCAGCCACTCATAAAAGCCAGCGGTGAGACCAGGCGCAGAATCGTTTGCGTCCCGCTTCTACTAACCTTCGCTCATCAGTTGTATTCGATTACGGAACAATCGCTAGTTCTTTTTTTTCCATTTTGCAGTTTAGCCGGGAGCAATTATTGAGCGAGATAATAGCCGATGACTACAGTGATCGGCTGACGTGAACTAACGCACCGTGTCCCGCTATCAGTTAACGTCATCATGTACTATGCAACGATATATTGAGGCCCAATAAACAAAGGGAAATGAATCATTATTAATGAGGCAGTCACAGCGTGTATTCGCTCAATGACAAGATTGCTGACTCACGTAGTCCGATCCTATCACCAAATTAGTCCAAGATACAAACGCACAATAACGTGAGCGGGGTATACGCATCGGTGGACTGCTGGTATCTTCAGCATTTCAATTTTTCCAGGAGTCTCACACATTGGCGGCCACCTGCTCCGTGAGCTCCATTCTCAGCTCTTGTGCAGCAAGTACTGTTGAACGCGATAGTACTTCTTCCCGTTTTTTTTTTTACTCTATGCTAGTCTTGAAACATTACATGCATTTACTCAAAACGTGCTACTGGCGACAAAAGAAAGATAGAAAGAAAGAATGAGAGAAAAAGAATAAACCCCAATGCAGTGTTCAATCAGACACCCTCATCTTCAAACGTGAAAACTCGCAATAGTAATGTGTGTATCGGGGTTTGTATCATAAAACGATTCTTTTTTTTTCTTGATATTTAAAACGCAAATGTCTCACACTTATCCGAGAAAACCAACCGATGCCTAGCCTAGACTTTTATCCCCAAGTTCTCTTCATTACGGTGGCACCGTTTGACAGGAATGAACGATAGTTTCACTAATGAAAACGCCTTCCATTACACCAGGCCAGTAGATCGAGGCGGTGCTATCTTGAAGGATTCCCAGCCTTGACAACGGCGGCATAGTCTGGTTTCACTTGGCTTCCAGCATGGACTCTGTGCCGGGTGGCTGGTTCCCGAAGGGACCACTAGTGTGCGCCGAAGGGTGTCCCACGGTGTGGACACCACCCGAGAGATGGTCCGCACCGTCCGTCATGTGGTGACCTGCCGTGCCGTTGGGCAGAGACCCCGGAGGTGCCGCTCCGGACGGGCCAGGGGGTGCTCCCTGTACACCGGGTCCAGCCATCGGGGGCACGGGCACAGGCGGTGTCTGTCCTGGCAATCGCTTGGGCTGGCCCCCGAGACCACCTCCCGAGGCCGACGTCATTCCGGGTGGCGGTGGGCCGTGGTGATGGTTGAGACCCATTGGTCCGCCGGCCCCTGGCCCCGGCATTCCTCCGGTGCCAGCGCCACCGGCACCGCCGAAGTACGGCATGTTAGCGAAGATCATTCGCTCCTCGTAGTCGTACTCGCAGAGGATGCGATTCTCGTGTAGGTAGAAGCGGTCGCCCACGCAGAACCTGCGCATATGCATTCGTGTGGCGTTCACCTACTTTGTATTACAACTTGATTTTACATCAACCCGGCAATTAGCGTAGCAAATATAATAAATGTATGCATGATTCCCAACAGACACAATGAATTCTATTTATTCAGCAATTCTACGACCGCCACTGTTGTCTTAGCCTTATGAAGCACATCCGCGTTCCCGTTTAAAAGGAAGTCACTTGAGAAAATCGGAAACAGTAGCAGCATTTTAGACGGCATCGTTACCTACGAGGGTATACGTATGACTAGTTCATTCAGAACTATAGGAGCTACACATGTACTACTTGTGTTACAATGTCGGCTGCCTAAAGTGGATTCACACTGCCTAAAGTAGCTTCAAGTGTTGTGTTGCATGTACTGTACATGCCCACCCGAAACATTTCATGGCATTGGGCTGTCATTTTATGAGGAAATTATAAAACGATTGTTATGATCGGCCTCCGTGGCTTGGCGCCACTTGGACGCGTGAGACATTGCAGCTAACCGTACCATGACTTCTTCCGGGTCAGCGCTCCTAGGGATGCGCCAAAGGCAACGACAACACGACAGCAGTATTTGGAATTCCCGAGCGTAGTCGGCACGTTCATCGAAAATCCTTTGAACACGCCAGACCGACTGACGTCCTAGCAAGTGCTGTTGGCGGTTGAGGCTGCTTGCTTTGTTCAACGTCCTACGAGACGCGCCGAACGATTAGCCAAGAGCTTGGAAGCGGTCGTCAAGTACGTTTCTCATGCACTCCGTGGTGCCTTCATGGCGACCGTTTTTCACAAGCCGTGGCCTGCCCGGTGCTGCAGGACCCATTGATGAGTCACTTCTGCACCTATCCACACAGTTGATCTGCATGTACGACCCAGCATCGTCGCGCTGTTTTGTGTCGTGCGTAGTGTTTCTCCCTCGCCATGGGATGAACTGGGCATGCCTCTTCCCTCTTTCCTGGGTTGGGAAGTAGGCAGGGTTTAATTTTCCTCTTTTGAGGGTGGAGATGAAGGTGACAATTTCACTGGACTGTCCTAGACTCAATTGTTTTCCCTACAGGGAAAGAGCAAGGCCTAAAACTGCGAGCGCCCAGACGCTACGGACAAGCTCCCAGAAGCTCCCATCAAGCTTCCATTGAGAGCTTCCACCGTGCAGCAACGCTACCATCACTGTGCAAATAGTGTAAATAAATGTTCTTGTAATCAGCCTCGGCTACTCTCCTCGACATCTCCCCGAGACTTTGGCTAATTCCGGCCCTATGGGCAGCCCCCCCCCCCCCCCAGACTACATCACTAGCATTTCCTCATGTGTGTGTGTGGGTGTGTGTGCAGTATGGTTCTCTTACCTGTGGTTGCACTGCTGGCAGGCAAAGCACTCCAGGTGATAGACGTTGCCGCGTGCTCTCATGACCATCTCGAAGGCTGGGATGGTCTTGTTGCACGCTGAGCATAGCCCGGTGGTGCCGAATAACCTGTGCAGACAAGAGGTGCGATGTTAGCGAATTAAAGATTGAAGTCAGGGTACTCTCGCAGAGAAGTTACAAAGGGCATAGGTGTACAGTGTTAAGAGTGACCTATAGTGTACTCAAAGTTTTGTACTCAACTTCAAGATTGTATCATGGCGATGACATATTTTACCAGTTTGCAATGTTAACTATCTTTGTTCATACAGAGTGAAATTTCCAGCAAGATTATACGCTGAGTCAGAGTTATCTGTTGCAGAACTTCTCTGCAACTCCGCCTTAAAAATGCAGCATTCGTGTTTGCCACACTGCCGGTGATGTCTTCCCTCACGTCCCTTACGTTTGTGATTCAGCCAAGTGGGTTTCTTGCCCTACATAGTTATTTTCGCCTCTATTTATAGAGACTGTTCAAACACACCATAGTAAACCACTATCGGTAAGTGCAAAGTTTCCTGTGAGGTAACAGATAAAATAAAAGAATTAGTAGATTTGTCATTTTATGGGAAATTTTGCAAGTTACGAATGCCGTAGTTACCGTTGTCACGGTAGGCAGTATTCTGAATTGGGTATTCCAAACAGTATTGAAATAGTGTGGCTGATGCCAAGGAGGAGCTTTCGAAGAGAAAAGGGCCAGGCCCAATTTTCACTGAGGCGACCTAAATGTGTTCTCCTTACGCAATTATACAACTACGGTCCTAAATACCGGGAGGTCATGGTCACTGCGTCACACACGTCATACTTGCCCAGGGTTCTCGTTAGACGCGATCATATCACTGAAACGAAGCAACTATAGCAGCAACTCAGGAGTGAACTACAGAGACAAGTATAGAACACAAATAGCACTGTGCCAGCAAATGTATATTTCGGTGGCTCCATATTAATTCATCATATATGAAGTTAGATGCTGCAAATGGGAACTGAATTGCTCGACGTGTTTTCAATACAATGGCCTGAGAGAGCAATGCGAAATTGTACGAAAGGCGTAGCCGCAAAATATCCCCCCCCCCTCTCTCAACCTGATTATGCACTTGTTTTTAACGAATTCGACCATGTAACATTGTTCGGTGTACATAGAACGCTATAGTAACTAAAAATGAGAAATATATTTTAGTACGACGATAAGTGATAAGTGAAGGAGAGATTGTAAGTGCATTCTTGTACGTATAGGGAGAAGATTTCTACGGGTGTCTTCGGGGGAGGGGGTAGGGGTTGAGTTGCACACTTTTCCCGCATTATTCTTCTTCGACGAGCTAGATTCAATCTCAAACATCCGGGACTCGAGGATGTAATGTAAAGTAAAATAGCCTGTTTTATAATTGCGTGTTCGCTGTATAGTCGAAATGTATTAAAAAAAGGGGGCGGAGAAGGTAATGAGCACATAGAGCGGGGCACTTCCATGAAATCAAACGTGTTAACGAAAGAAACTCGCCACATGGACCGAGACAAACAGGCATTAATGAGAATCAAATTATCTCGTGGTTTCTACGATCGGCTCCGGGACAAAAATGAGATGGGGCTACGTACACCCACCCCTCTTTCCTAACATTCTGTCCAAAGCAAAAAAAAAAATGACAAAGGAACCAGCGAGAACGATCCACCGCAGTGCCGCGGGCACGAAACAGGCCCCAAGTATGTATGCAAAACGGCAATAATAAATGAGTGCCCTGTTTAATTAGATTTCGCGATAAGTCGAAATCGTTTCGCTAATGCAAGCCCCGGCGCAGCGCTGTGACCAGTTCGTTGCTGGCGAGAAAAAAAAATATGGACATAAAGAATTATGATAGAGTTGGGTGAACAGAAAAATGTAAGGATGGTCCACTCAAGAAGCAAATGAACACGCGCGCCACATTTAATAATTAGGCAGCGGACAAACAAGAAAACTTGTTTGATTTGAGAAGAAAAGATAAGCGAAATTATCGCAGGAAAGCTTTCGAGAACTGTTTCGATGTAAAGAAAAGAAAAGAAATATAATGACGGCGTATATTTCTGTCTAAACGCCTCCCTATATCGCGCGCACCGTGCCACGGCTCGTCCTTTCTCGATGGAAAGAAGTGCGGTTTGCGCTGATTCTACATTGATTAAATTGAGCTTGACTTTTTAGTATCATCGCTGTTTATATCTTTATTTCTTTTGTGGAGCACCTCTTTAATTATCATAAGCGGCATGCAACAAATATCTCCAATCTCCAAAGCGCACTTTGGACGTTTTTTTTTTTTATGAATGCGATGTGAGTTGCGAAACGCCTTTAAAGCACCGTGGGCTTCTAGTTGTCTTCTTGATTTTTTTTTTGTTATCAAATATGGTCATAACATTCGCGATGTTGCGACACGCTAATGCGCCCTATGTTTTCATTTCCTTTTTTTTTTGTCCATATCTTGTTCTGTGAATATTTTGCTTTCTGTTGCTTAACGAAGTCTGATCGTTACTTTTTGAGTACGGGCACTAAATTTAATTGTAAGTGCGCATATTCGAGTTACTTTTGTTTGAGAAATCATTACGCATACGTTTAATTTGCGTGTCGTAGAAGCAGAAAAAAGGTTTTAAAAAGCTGGAGAAGTGCTCAGAATAGACTCTTTGAGTCTTTGCCCAGCGTGATAAGAGAGCACAGCTTCTCAAGCACTTCGTTAGTCTCCCTACTTAGTGAAGCTAACAACACTGAAGAGCTTTGCGCATGACACAACATATTTTCATTGAAGTCACAAGTTGTGACAGTAACGAGCCTCGCCACGGCAGTCTAGTGGCTAAAGTACTCGGCTGCTGACCCGCAGGTAGCGGGATCGAATCCCGGCTGGGCGGCTGCATTTTCGATGGAGGCGGAAATGTTGTAGGCCCGTGTGCTCAGATTTGGGTGCATGTTAAAGAACCCTATGTTGTCGGAAATTTCCAGAGCCCTCTACTACGGCATCTTTTATAATGATTAGTGGTTTTGGGACGGTAAACCCTACATATCAACCAATCAATCAATCAGTGTGACGTAAGGACTGTATTAGTAATTTAACTGAACGTCTTGCTGCACAGTAACATTTCACAGGCGCTGTACCATTTAATAGGTGCGTGTATTTCTGCGTAACGCTCCTAAAAATAAAGGTATCTGATAATATTCTAGAAAAGTTAGTTGGGAACGTTCCTAGGATTCGCATGACATGGAGTGTCACTTGCACGTTACATTAAAATGTTGGGCCTTTTACTCTGGTATTATATTTAACTATGTTTGTCCGCGGTCAAACCAGAGTCTCTCAGCTGCTTGACTACCGTATAGAATGATTAGAAAATGGAAGACATCTAGGTCGTCAATAATTCATCATCGCAATGATTCCTCTATAAAGTGACATGTTTGCATGCATAGGGTACCAATATCTCAAGCATCTAACGATGTATGACAGGGGTAGTTTTACGTTTTCGTATAGGATTGGACACATAAACACGCGCATGTGTGCCCTACTGATAAGAAAAGAAAAAAAGTTTTCTTTTGTGGCCTTGATTACGGTCATATAAATAATCGTCAGTTAATCTTTCTAAGGAGGGCTCGGCAGAATTTGTTTTCAGGTCGTAAACCTGCAGTCATTAAAGCGATGGCTCATATGTCAGTATTGAAGTAGTGCAGTTAAGGAAGGAATAGACAATGCTACGGTTACAGATTTGCTTAGTCACGCCAGAGGCTGAGAGCTGTATACGTCGTATATCAGCGATAATTGAATGTATTGTTTTTATTACCTAATTGCCAACATTGATTATAGGGCGGCCTTATCATAGCCATGCGTCCTATCAGAGTTTCATTAGGCGTTGCACTAAGCAATGTTTTTACCAATGGTCGACCACTGCGCCTTTAGCACAACTTTTTTAAACAAGAATCACATGCCCAACTATTCGAAGAAGGCAGATCAATGCAACTGCGTTCATGGCAGACATTGCTTGCTTGCTTGTTCCTTTCTTTTGTGGCTCTCACCCACTAAGGGGGATTGGCCAAGAAGCCGGTGGTTAATGCAAGTAAATAACTATAGATTTTCTAGATTAGGGGAATATGAATACTGAGTTTTGACTGTGAAATTAATTTGGCGCAATGTTAAAAAAAAGAAAAGAAAGAAAAAAAAGGGGGGGGGAGAAATAATAGAATTTGTTAAATATCTGTGGTGGAATCGTTATATGAAATTCTCCTGAAACATATTAAACACTATGCTCAAATAACTTGTATGTGCTTCTGTGTAGTGCGATAAAATGCAAAAATTAGAAAAAGGTGGAGTGGGCAGATACGCAGTAGTGGCCGACTGAGAAATCAGCGAGGCTAATGGCGTTCCTTCCTGTTTTCCCTCTTCCTCGCCTTCACTTCTCTTTCCCGCACATCCGTGTACTACACATCTCTAGCCCATCATCATCATCATCAGCCTGACTACGTCCACTGCAGGACAAAGGCCTCTCCCATGTTCCGCCAGTTAACCCGGTCCTGTGCTTGCTGCTGCCAATTTATACCCGCAAACTTCTTAATCTCATCTGCCCACCTAACCTTCTGTCTCCCCCTAGCCCGCTTTCCTTCTCTGGGAATCCAGCTAGTTACCCTTAACGACCAGCGGTTATCCTGTCTACGCGCTACATGCCCTGCCCATGTCCATTTCTTCTTCTTGATTTCAGCTATGATATCCTTAACCCCCGTTTGTTCCCTAATCCACTCTGCTCTCTTCTTGTCTCTTAAGGTTCCACCTACCATTTTTCTTTCCATTGCTCGCTGCGTCGTCCTCAATTTAAGCTGAACCCTCTTTGTAAGTCTCCAGGTTTCTGCTCCGTAGCTAAGTACCGGCAAGATACAGCTGTTATATACCTTCCTCTTGAGGGATAGTGGCAAACTACCTGTCATAATTTGAGAGTGCTTGCCGAATGTGCTCCACCCCATTCTTATTCTTCTAGTTACTTCAATCTCGTGGTTCGGCTCTGCGGTTATTACCTGCCCTAAGTAGACATAGTCTTTCACAACTTCAAGTGCACTATTACCTATCTCGAAGCGCTGCTCCTTGCCG